CGGACTGTGTCAGAAAGCGAACGCGCATCTGTATACAGGTGCATCTCAAAAAATTACAATATCGTGAAAGTTCTTTTTTTTTTTTTGTAACTTGTTTCAAAAAGGGAAACTTTCATATATTCTAGATTCATTACATGTAAAGTAAAACATTTAAAAAGTTTATTTGTTTTAATTTTGATGATTAGAGCTTACAGCTCATGAAAGTCAAAAATCCAGTATCTCAAAATATTAGAATATTTACATTTGAGTTTCATTAAATGACCATCCCTACAGTATAAATTCCGGGTATCTCTTGTTCTTTGAAAGCACAATAATGGGGAAGACTGCTGACTTGGCAATGGTCCAGAAGACGATCATTGACACCCTCCACAAAGAGGGTAAGTCACAGAAGGTCATTAGAAGGTCACAGAAGGCTGTTCACAGAGTGCTGTATCAAAGCATATTAAATGCAAAGTTGACTGGAAGGAAGAAATTGGGAAAAGGCGCACAAGCAACAGGGATGATCGCAAGCTTGTGAATACTGTCAAGCAAAGCCGATTCAAACACTTGGGAGAGCTTCACAAGGAGTGAACTGAAGCTGGAGTCAGTGCATCAAGAGTCTCCACGCTCAGACGTTTTCAGGAAAACTTCTGAAATAGAAACAACGTAAGAAGCATCTTACCTGGGCTAAGGAGAAAAAGAACTGTTGCTCAGTGCTCCAAAGTCCTCTTTTCAGATAAGTAAATTTTGCATTTCATTTGGAAATCAAGGTCTGGAGTCTGGAGGAAGACTGGAGAGGCACAGAATCCAAGCTGCTTGAAGTCCAGTGTGACGTTTCTGAAGTCAGTGATGATTTGGGTGCCGTGACTAGGGTTAGGTATCGTTTGAATTTTATCAATTCCGATTCCGATTCTTTTCGATTCCCAGTTTCGATTCCAATGTGATTAAATAATGATATCAAACATTTATCCTGTGTCTCTTTTTTGCAAACCATTTATTGGAGCTGAATACCATGAACAAAAATCAACAGTCTACATAAAAACTGGACTCTTTAAGAGCTGTTTGTGGGCAAAATAGAGCCGCATGATTCTGGATAAATTTAGACTTTTTTTTTTTAATGGAGGTTGTAGTTCTCCTAAACAAAATCACATGGAATTTATGAATTAATGATTCAATGACACACTCAAGATGTACTTGATTCATTACTGGATGAATCAGCGTTCTTGAACGAATCTCTTGTATGATTCAAAGACAAATACATTTTAACAGCCCCTTTTCGCCACATACTGGCGTAACAATTTAATCGATAATTCTTCATTTGAAGTGTCAAATTACTTTCAAAAGGATATTTACTTTATTTTAATCGCTACCATACACATCAGAGTTTATATCTGAACTATAAACTTTTATCCCAGTACTTCTGTGATTTGAATGTTTGTAACACAGAAATAATGATACTGCGTGGCTGAAAAGACTGAAGCGGTTTCATTCATGACAGACAGCTGCTCTCTTTAGGTCAATGGCAGCACGAACGCAAATTTAAATGTTCAGATCACACTGGTGTCGAGTTTGAGGAATGAAACAGACGAATCATTGTAATTTAGGAATAGAATCACGTTGGTGTTTGAATCGTGTTCGCGATCTTTAACGATCTATTAAATTAAAGTGCTTTGTCATGTTGGTGGTGACACCTCTCTTGCAACATGTTTAGCTATTTCTGGATAAATTTAGTTTTTTTTTTCTTCTTCTTTTTCCCCAATGGAAGTTGCGGTTCTCTCATGATTCTGAAGAAAAAACATTAGACAACTAAACAAAATCACATGGAATTTATGAATTAATGATTCAATGACACACTCAAGATGTACTTGATTCATTACTGGATGAATCAGCGTTCTTGAACGAATCTCTTGTATGATTCAAAGACAGATACATTTTAACAGCCCCTTTTCGCCACCTACTGGCGTAACAATGTAAAAGATAATAAAAAAAAATTATTTTCAAAAAGTGATTTATTCTATTTTAATCGCTACCATACACACAGTTTATATCTGAACTATAAACTTTTATCCCAGTACTTCTGTGATTTGAATGTTTGTAACACAGAAATAATGATACTGTGTGGCTGAAAAGACTGTGAAGCTGTTTCATTCATGACAGATGACAGCTGTCTTGTTTAGCAGTTTATATTTTTCATTCTTGTTCTGTTCTGAATAACCATTCAATTTAAAGGATTTGTTGTGCTGTGGCGTCTGCTGGTGTTGGTCCATTGTGTTTTATCAAGTCCAAAGTCAATGCAGCCGTCTACCAGAAGATTTTGGAGCACTTTATGCTTCCATCTGGTGACAAGCTTTATGGAGATGCTGATTTCCTTTTCCAGCAGGACTTAGCACCTGCCCACAGTGCAAAAACCACTTCCAAGTGGTTTGCTGACCATGATATTACTGTGCTTGATTGGCCAGCCAACATGCCTGACCTGAAGTCCATATGGAGTCTATGGGATATTTTCAAGAGAAAAATGAGAAACAGTGGATCCGAGCTGAAGGCTCAATAGTTTCTCAGCAGAGCCACAGGCTGACCGCTTCATGCCACTCCTCACTGATGCTGGAGTTTGTGCTAAAGGAGCCCCGACCAAGTACTGAGTGCATAAATGAACACACTTTAAAGAACTTGAGCTTTTCTGTTTTGCAAATCCTTTTTTTGATTGATCTTAGGAAATCTTCTAATATTTTGAGATACTGGATTTTTGACTTTCATGAGCTGTGAGCTCTAATCATCAAAATTAAAACAAAAAACTTTTGAAATGTTTTACTTTGTGTAATGAATCTAGAATATAAGAAAGTTTCACTTTTTGAAATAAGTTACAAAAAAATGTGTGTGTATATATATATATATATATATTTGTATGTATGTGTGTGTGTATGTGTATGTGTATATATATATATACACATACACATACATAGCTTATAAATATATAAAACCTCTAGATTTACTGTAAGAGAGTAAAGCTTCTTCAGACAAGTCAGCATGTCTGTAAACAGTCTGAACTCATCGCTCCCACGGCTCAGATCTGCTCGCTGCGTCTCAGAGATTTGCTCTTTTAATGCTGCTGGAGTGTGTGAAGTCCATTGTGTGTGGCTTTTCACACTTTATGATCCACATCAATAAACTTTATCACCCTCACACACTCTCTCTCTCTCTCACACACACACACACACACACACACACTCCCACACACTGACTTATGAGCCAATTACGTGAGGATACAGGGCCGAACTCACAGGAAACATCAAAGCTTGTAACTCAAGAGCCACTAACCACTCTCTTTTCCCTGAAATCGATGCCCACGGTGGTGATGAATTTGGGGTTGAACTTGTTGTCGGTGTAGCGGTAGAGGAAGGTGGTCTTGCCCACTCCGGAGTCCCCGAGAGCCAGGAGTTTGATCAGATAGTCGTAATCTCCATCGGTCATAGTGCTGGCGGAGCTGAACCTGCACAACAAACAGCATGAGGATATTACAGCAACCACAATAAATCAATACAACAAACACACAAACACAGTGAGCATATTAAATCCACCTTAATAATTCAATACAACAAACATACAAACTCCATGGAAATATGAAACCAAAGTAAATCAATGAAATCACAAGGGTTGTTACAGTTAACTAAAAAAATTTAATATTTTCATTACTTGAAATAAAGTTATTTCACGTAGTTGCCAAGGCAAAATTTCTTATTTTAATTTATTTTAACAATGTACTAAAATAATTGCAAATAAAACTGAAACAATAATTAATCAAAACTATACAGACCTATAAAAAAACAAAAACTACTAAAAATTACAAAAACATTACAAAATTACAAAAAAATTTTAAATAAAAATGTAAAACAAAATAAAAAATAAATATAAAAAATACAAAATAAAAAACTGATTGAAAAATTGGTAAAAACTATAATTATATTTTAATGATACTAAAATAAAACTGGAAATCACACACAATTAAAAAAAAAAAAATAGAAGACAGAAAAACAGGTACTGTAAATAAGAGACAATCATTGAAACTGTTAAATTAACTTAAAATTACATATTTAATAACTTTTGAGCAAAAAGTTGCGCAAAAATTGTGTGTGTATATACACTGATATTTTATACTATCAATAAAAATTGCTAAATATTATTTCATTTTCAAATATATATATATATTATATATATATATGTGTGTGTGTGTGTGTGTGTGTGTGTATACTGTAAAATGTATTAAAATTGCAAAAGAAAATTTTTTCTGCAATTATACAACTCTGCCAACTCTGCTCGCTATTAAAAAGCCCATATTGCTCAACCAATAACACACATCAAGGCCAAAGAAACCAAAAAGAGACAGATTGAACAATATCTCAGTGTGATGGAACTGCGTCTCTCTCTTTCTCTCAGAAGGTCTCAGGGTCCAGTGGGCCCCCGGGGCCGTTTCTACAGCGCTCAAATAATCTCATTTATACGTGTGGGCTGGAGATGCTGCAGTAAACACATCACAGCCCACAGCAAACGCTCAGCGCTCACACATTCACTAGAGTTCATCAGAAAGAGATGAACAGAGCTTCATTCATCTGTGAGCGGCTTGTCCAGCACATGACCCAGAGCCGCTTCCTCATGATCAGCAGATCTGTGGCACTCTGTGTCTCTCACACACATCATCATCACATCTCTCACACCTCACCGTCCCCTAAAAATAAAACATGCCACTTCCTGTCTGTGTTCAATCTTGATTCACTGAATCCCAATGAATATGTTTCTACAACGTAAGAACTCAGCGAACCTGTCATGTTCAGCACACATTATAACACAAGAATCTGAAGAAATATTCTGTATCAAGAAAATGAATCAGATTTTATCAGACATCACAAGTTAATTGGGCAATTTTATAAAGCAATTACATCACAGTAAATCCCCTTTACAGAGGGGATTTTATCACTGCAAAAATATGAAAATACTGTCAACAAACAGAAAAAAAACCAAAAAATTTCACCATGATTTTAGAAATAAAATGTCATATAAATCAGTGTGAATGATATATATGAACAAACCCCTCAGCAAAAACCTTCAGAATATAGATAGAAATAAAACTGCTAAGTTTGGTGTATGTAAGTTCTGCCGAGGTGGAGAAAAAACTCACAGTCTTTAAATATATCCATTTTTACCATGTTTTTACAGGGTAAAATGTCATATAAATCAGTGTGAATGATATATGAACAAGCCCCTCAGCAAAATCCTTAAGAATATAGATAGGAATAAAACTGCTAAGTTTGGTGTATGTAAGCGCTGCTGAAGTGGAGAAACAAACTTTTAAAGTATTGGAACTGAAATCTGAAATCTACAGTAGCAAATACATGTGCAAAAAAATAAACACCTAAATATGTATTTTTGCAAGACAGGTTATGGAAGCAAGACCAAAATCTCAAAATTGACCAGTGCACTTTCTTTTTCTTTTGGGCTAAAACATGACAAACATGTTCTTGACAGGTTTCATGAGATTCATAATTTACCCGAGACAGCATGCATGGATTCTTAGTGAATATTAGTGTAAATAATCACAAAAACACAAGCATATCTCAAGCACTAATGTCACTCAGAAGACACTTTTATATGACGTGATGTGAGAAACATCTGAAATCAAATCTACTAGTCAGAATCAGAAGACCAACCCAAACCCAGAGGCTGTGGAAGTGTCCTGTGTGTTTATGTTAAACAGTGTTGACTGACAAATTGGAGAATGTCACATGTATGTTGTTAAGGGGTTTGGAACACAAGACAGAATTTGATATTGATTTCAGTAAAAGGTCGTGTACATTTGCCTGGAGGGGTGATTGTACCGCAGACAGTGTATTTAAACCACAAAACATCAGTGAAGACCATGACTATCAGGACCTTACAATATCTACAAATACAAACAAAATATCTAAACAGATTATCTTACATATCTACAAATACAAGCTCTTTTATTTGTGCATTCACTTACAGAAATAAAATGAACTGTATGACTTGAGGAATGTATTGAGCTTACTGATAAGTTAAGATCAACTTTATTTTCCCAAATGAAATTTGTCTTGCACACATACAATATGATATCTGCTGTTTAAATACGAGTAACATACTACTTACTAGGGCTGTGCAATATTGAAGAAAAATGCGATATGCGATACCTTGTTAAAAAATGTGATATTTGATATGCGATACGATATTGCGTATTTATAGGCTGCTGTCCCTTTAAATTCCGACTGCACGGATAAAGTATAATGATACACATCCGATTTCTTTCTCAGCTGTTTACATTCATTTAAAACATAACCGACTGCATTTACGAGAATGATCGTCGAGACGGGTACTATTGACATAATTCTGTGTGTATTATCAATTTTTACCATGTTTTTACAGGGTAAAATGTCATATAAATCAGTGTGAATGATATATGAACAAGCCCCTCAGCAAAATCCTTAAGAATATAGATAGGAATAAAACTGCTAAGTTTGGTGTATGTAAGCGCTGCTGAAGTGGAGAAACAAACTTTTAAAGTATTGGAACTGAAATCTGAAATCTACAGTAGCAAATACATGTGCAAAAAAATAAACACCTAAATATGTATTTTTGCAAGACAGGTTATGGAAGCAAGACCAAAATCTCAAAATTGACCAGTGCACTTTCTTTTTCTTTTGGGCTAAAACATGACAAACATGTTCTTGACAGGTTTCATGAGATTCATAATTTACCCGAGACAGCATGCATGGATTCTTAGTGAATATTAGTGTAAATAATCACAAAAACACAAGCATATCTCAAGCACTAATGTCACTCAGAAGACACTTTTATATGACGTGATGTGAGAAACATCTGAAATCAAATCTACTAGTCAGAATCAGAAGACCAACCCAAACCCAGAGGCTGTGGAAGTGTCCTGTGTGTTTATGTTAAACAGTGTTGACTGACAAATTGGAGAATGTCACATGTATGTTGTTAAGGGGTTTGGAACACAAGACAGAATTTGATATTGATTTCAGTAAAAGGTCGTGTACATTTGCCTGGAGGGGTGATTGTACCGCAGACAGTGTATTTAAACCACAAAACATCAGTGAAGACCATGACTATCAGGACCTTACAATATCTACAAATACAAACAAAATATCTAAACAGATTATCTTACATATCTACAAATACAAGCTCTTTTATTTGTGCATTCACTTACAGAAATAAAATGAACTGTATGACTTGAGGAATGTATTGAGCTTACTGATAAGTTAAGATCAACTTTATTTTCCCAAATGAAATTTGTCTTGCACACATACAATATGATATCTGCTGTTTAAATACGAGTAACATACTACTTACTAGGGCTGTGCGATATTGAAGAAAAATGCGATATGCGATACCTTGTTAAAAAATTTGATATTCGATATGCGATACGATATTGCTTAAAGTGTGTAAAATCAATTTAAATGATATTTTAAAATATTTAAAATATTGTGTGCTTTCCACACACTTTAAGTACTACTTCATATACCACAGCAAAAACTACAGGTATAGTCTGAGAAAGTTCAAACATGATTAAAGGCAAGTGAACAGTCAGTAAAAAAAAAGAAAGAAAAAGAAAACAAAAGAAATAAACAATTTACAAGCATAGATAAAATAAACAGTAGTTTTCAGGTACAGAAATTTAATAATTAAGTGTAAAATAACACTGCATAGTGTTCACTGTATGAATTAAATTTAGATTAATCTTTGTTATAGCCGTTTTGTTAAGATTAGTGACATATTCAGCAGCACGTATATATAGGCTGCTTGTGCGCGCGCTTCAGGTGTGAGTCAGACAGCAAGACGAGACGGCAAAGTTGTTTTCTGCAACTTATTGCACTTAATAACTCTTTTTAAAGTAACATGTTTTTAACCTTTTGCAACGTTTTGATTTAAGGAGCCTATTATTAAAATGATAATGATATCGCACACCATTGCGATATGCATATTGCGATATTTACATTTGCGATATTTCGATCATTTCAATATATCGTGCATCCCTACTACTTACATATAATACATACAACAACCCATCACTAGCCTACCCACAATATACAGTGAATACATAAGCTACAATAAAACAACTAAATTGCACACTGCCCATCGCGCAACACACCCATAATCATCGTAATCATATGTACAGTATTTACACACACCAGAAGGGACATTTTTTTAATTATAATTGTTAACCTCTAGCTAACTTACCATTTAATGCTTTAATGGACAGAGGGACAAAAGACTATAATATTTGTGTGCATTTTGATGCATGCAACTGAGAATTGCTTTTTGTTGCTTGCAATTATGAAATGAGTTATGATGCATTCAATTACAAATGCATTTTGCTGCACACAATTCCGAAATGCGTTATGATGAATTTAATTGTGAAATACATTTTGCTGTGTGCAATTACAAAATGCATTTTTTTTC